TCTTTTTTATTTCTTTTTTTTTATATTATTATCTATTTATCTATTCTTTTTATTTATCTATATATTTCTATTTTCTATCTTTATCTATCTAATCTATCTATATATTATTATCTATCTATCTATCTTTTCTATCTATCTATCTATATTCTATCTATTATTATTATCTATCTATTTTTATTATCTATCTTATCTATCTATCTATTATTATCTATTAATAATTATATCTATCTATTATCTATCTTTTATTATTATCTATTATCTTCTTTTTTATCTATTACTATCTATCTATATCTATCTATTTTTCTATTTTATCTATTTCTATTTTTTTTTTATCTATCTATCTTCTTTATTATCTTTTATCTATCTTTTCTATCTATCTATCTCTTTTTTTATCTATCTTTCTATCTATTATCTATCTTTCTATCTATTTATCTATTTATCTATTTTATCTATCTATTTAATTATCTATTATTCATTATTATCTATCTATCTATTATCTATTTCTATATTTTTTTTATTATTATTATTTTTTCTATTTTATTATTTATTTTTATCTTTTCTATCTTTTCTATTTTTTTTTTATTATCTATCTATCTATCTATCTATCTATTATTATCTATCTATCTATCTATTATCTATCTATCTATCTATCTATCTATTTTATCTATTTTTATTTATTATCTATTATTTTTTCTATTATCTTTTTTATCTTTTTTAATATTTTATCTTTCTTTTTTCTATTATCTATCTTTATTATCATTATTTTTATCTTTTATCTATTATATCTTATTTTTATTTTCTATTATTATCTATCTATCTATTATCTATTATTATCTATCTATCTATCTTTTCTATCTATCTATTATTATCTTTCTTATCTATCTATTATCTTTCTATCTTTATCTTTTATTTATCTATATATCTATTTTTTATTATCTATTATCTATCTATCTTTTTATCTATCTATTATCTTATCTAATTTTCTATCTATCTATTAATTCTAATCTATCTATTATCTATCTATCTATCTATTATCTATCTTTTTATTATCTATCTATCTTTTATCTATCTATTATTATCTATCTATCTATCTATCTTTTATCTATCTATTCTTTATTATTATTATATATTATTATTATCTATCTATTTTTTTATTATTATCTATCTATTTATTTTAATCTATCTATCTATCTATCTATCTAATCTATCTAATCTATCAATTTCTATTATCTAATTATTCTATATTTTTTCTACTTTTATTTTTATCTTTATCTATCTTCTATCTATCTATTATCTATCTATTATCTATTATCTATCTATTTATTATCTATCTATCTAATATTTATCTATTATCTATCTATCTATCTTATTATCTATTATCTATTATCTATCTATTTATTATTATCTATCTATCTATCTATTATCTATCTATCTATCTATCTATTATTTTCTATCTATCTATCTATCTATCTATCTATCTATCTATTATCTATTATCTATCTATCTATCTATCTATCTATCTATCTATCTATCTATCTATTAATCTATTTTATCTATTATCTTTATCTATCTATCTATCTATCTATCTATCTATCTATCTATCTATCTATCTATCTATTATCTATCTATCTATCTATCTATCTATCTATCTATTTTATCTATCTATCTATTATCTATCTAATCTATCTTTCTATCTATCTATCTATCTATCTATTATCTTCTATCTATCTATCTATTATCTATCTATTATTTTTATCTATCTATTATCTATCTATCTATCTATCTATTCAGTCATGATATGCTTGTGAATCTTCATGTTTGTGTGAGTAGACATCTTTTTCACTTGTAGCGTCCTCCTCCTAGTTCAGCTACAGGGAGGTAGACTCCAATGGTTAGACAGGGGCTGAGCAGCAGCCCAAGTGTAATAGCCAGATGGCCCAAATTGTGGTCAGGGCTGAGAGGCTCTGCAAGCCAGTCCCTCTGGAATTTCCGCCTGCTCTACGGCTTTTGGAGAAAGGACTTAGAGGCAGTGGGTGGTTATGAGGAGTGGCTGGCTACAATCTTGAGGGGTCCTAACCAATCCCCAGCAAGAGGTTGGTAAGGAGCTGAACACCATTAAAAAGTGTTGGAGCCTGCTCAGAAGGAGGAGGTGTGGAGTGTGGGAGAGGAGTCAGGTAGAAGAAGGAGAGAGGAAGATGTGAGGCTGTGAGGAAGAAGGCTGCCAAGAGGCCTAGTGGAATGGGGCCTACCTGCGAGCCTGGAGCTGGAAAGACAGAAAGCTTGGAGCTCACTGGCCCCCTGAGAGGACCACTGGTATGGCAGGCATGGAGGAGCAGCCCACACCCACAAGCAGTACAGGAGGAAAATGAGTACACCTGCACCCCTTGGCTGATAGGGGAAGGAGCATTCTGTTGGGAAACCAGCTTAGCCCCCTACTCAGGGGCGGACTGACCATTTGGAAACTCGGTCACTGCCCGAGGACTCGGGGTCAGTAGGAGGCCCCATGAGATGCCCATGGTACCTTTTTCATAGGCTTTTTTGAGTTTGGGCAAGGACACAGGGGCCCCATGATCCCCTATTGCCCGGGGGCCCCATGAGTTGTCAGTCCGTCCCTGCCCCTACTAGTGACTGATCACCTATTTAAAGGGACAGGAACTGGATCCCCTGCTCAGGGACACCTCCAGATTGCTGGGTGAAGAGAAGAAATTCATCTAGGGTCCGGGGTGGTACATTGTGGAGATGCTGGCTCTCCAACAGAGATTGTGCTGCAGGAAAAGCTTGTGACTAGTTCCAGGAAGTTGTCCTCAGTTGTCGGTTCCCTATGGCATCCTATACCCCCCCGTACCCCATCCCAGTTCTAAATCCCCTTAATAAATCTAAAGAAACCAAACTCAAGGACTGATTTCTGACTTTGGATGGAAACTTGTGTGGAGAATGCAGATTGCTTGGCTGTGCGGGACTATAGGTGGACCCAAATCCTTGGCAGCCTGCAAGGGGGTAGTGCTACATGCTCTATTAATAAAAGGCAATTGTCGAGGTAACGTCAAGGCTTGTGCACCCTTTTCTTCTTCTTTTTTTTTTTAGTGTCTTTTCTGGGCCTAACCAACCCTAAGGTGGCCACGTAGCTTTGCCTGATTTGGTTGAATGGAAGAATCTTGGCCCACTAATGCCTGAACCGGTCTGTGGAGCGCAGGAGGTTTTTCTTCTTCTGATAGGGTCTGTCTATCCCAGCCATGAAGAGAGTTCCGGTGAAGATTGGCAGCTCATGGATTGGTGTAATTTGCTGATTTCCATTGAATGGATCTGAAATGTTCTTCTCTTTTCTGTTATTTTATTTGTAGTCTCCTGGATGTAGCCAGGTGCCGGATCTATCATTGTGCCATTTGGGGACTTTTATAGATGGGACTATGATTACTCCTCCCCCCTAGTGCTCAGTACTGGGACGGCTACATCACTTCCTGTTAGTAGAGTGGATCCAGTTCTTCTGACAGCAGAGGATCCTGGGACATGTAGTCCTATAGCCAATACATCCTGTATTTCTGAGCACTGAATGAACTACAACTACCAGAGAGCTTGGGAGTGAGAAGGATGAAGGGAGTGCAGATTTATTGAACAGCAAGGGACTGGCTCTCTCTCTTGGCATGGGATTCAGAGCTGAACACAGGGGGCTGCCGTTCTCCTCCACCGACAGATTGCTGGCCTACTGCTGCTGTTGGATTCTGTAGACCAGTTCAGCACAGCAGTGATACCGCTCGTCACACCGGGATCGCATCGGCTTCTCTGCATCGAGACTGTCATTGTCTGGTCTTCACACAGTCATCTCTGCTTGCCACGCTGAGAGGCCATCAGGCAGCAACTCTGAACTTCTCTACAAACAGCCAAGAGCCTAGGCAAGAACCCAGTTCCTACGTGGCTGTACAATCCATAGGATTGGTGAGCGGGCGGATGCCCAACCTCTTTCTGTCATCACTCTAAGAGACACCTTTACACCTCAGTTACCAGGAGATCTTTGCTTTGAGCATTCTCCACAACCTATCTGTTTACCTTCATTGAATTACCAGTATTCACTAATGTTTATGGGCCCCACCATTGCTAGCAGAAAACAACAGACACCACCCTATCAGGAACTTTAAACAGCACAGGACTCAAGCTGCTCTAGTTAAAGGGATCTCCTCTCTTCTTAGGCCATTATTATTCGTATTAGGATACTTTTATCTATTTATGTTCAAGTATACATATACATAATTCTCTGAATCCCCATTGCGGTGTCGGTGGCCTAGAGGGAGCTGATGAGTCAACAAGCCTTTTCTTCCCCCTCTTACTGCTGGCGTCGCAGTTAAATGGTTGAAGCTTACTACTTATAACTGTATAATTTGTTAAAAGTTCCTAACTAATTATTGTTATATTATATTATTTTATATGTTCTGCTTTTATGTGTTAACCGGAGTTATATATCCTGAACCCATTGTTCTTGTGGCCTGCTCTTTTGAACAAGTCTGATATAGAAGTATTACTAAAAAATGGTGTCTCTTGCACTATTATTCTATACCGGGCCTGCAAACGTTTTAAACAAAGAGCCAGTTAACTGTCCTTCAGACTTTAGAGGGGCCGGACTGTGCCCAGTGGCAGTCAAAACGCACCCAACGTCAGTGGGAAAAAAAATGCCCCATCTTTGATGTCAGTGGAAAGAACAGTGCCCTATTATTTGTGTCATTGGAAGGAATTGTGCCCCTTCATTGGTGTCAGTGGGGGGGGGGGGAATAATGGCCCATTGTTGGTGTTTTGAGAGAAATTGTGCCCCTTCATTGGTGTCAGTGGGGGGGGGGAATAATGGCCCATTGTTGGTGTTTTGGGAGAAATTGTGCCCCTTCATTGGTGTCAGTGGGGAAAAATGCCCCATCTTTGATGTCAGTGGAAAGAACAGTGCCCTATTATTTGTGTCATTGGAAGGAATTGTGCCCCTTCATTGGTGTCAGTGGGGGGGAGGGGGAATAATGGCCCATTGTTGGTGTTTTGGGAGAAATTGTGCCCCTTCATTGGTGTCAGTGGGGAAAAATGCCCCATCTTTGATGTCAGTGGAAAGAACAGTGCCCTATTATTTGTGTCATTGGAAGGAATTGTGCCCCTTCATTGGTGTCAGTGGGGGGAATAATGGCCCATTGTTGGTGTTTTGGGAGAAATTGTGCCCCTTCATTGGTGTCAGTGGGAAAAAAAAACTGCCCCATCTTTGATGTCAGTGGAAAGAACAGTGCCCTATTATTTGTGTCATTGGAAGGAATTGTGCCCCTTCATTGGTGTCAGTGGGGGGGAGGGGGAATAATGGCCCATTGTTGGTGTTTTGGGAGAAATTGTGCCCCTTCATTGGTGTCAGTGGGGAAAAATGCCCCATCTTTGATGTCAGTGGAAAGAACAGTGCCCTATTATTTGTGTCATTGGAAGGAATTGTGCCCCTTCATTGGTGTCAGTGGGGGGAATAATGGCCCATTGTTGGTGTTTTGAGAGAAATTGTGCCCCTTCATTGGTGTCAGTGGGGGGGGGGAATAATGGCCCATTGTTGGTGTTTTGGGAGAAATTGTGCCCCTTCATTGGTGTCAGTGGGGAAAAATGCCCCATCTTTGATTTCAGTGGAAAGAACAGTGCCCTATCATTTGTGTCATCGGAAGGCATTGTGCCCCATCATCGGTGTCAATAGGGGGGAATAATGACCCTTTGTTGGTGTTTTAGGAGAAATTGTGCCCCTTCATTGGTGTCAGTGGGAAAAAAATGCCCCATCTTTGATGTCAGTGGAAAGAACAGTGCCCTATCATTTGTGTCATTGGAAGGACTTGTGCCCCTTCATTGGTGTCAGTGGGGGGAATAATGGCCCATTGTTGGTGTTTTGGGAGAAATTGTGCCCCTTCATTGGTGTCAGTGGGAAAAAAAAACTGCCCCATCTTTGATGTCAGTGGAAAGAACAGTGCCCTATTATTTGTGTCATTGGAAGGAATTGTGCCCCTTCATTGGTGTCAGTGGGGGGGAGGGGGAATAATGGCCCATTGTTGGTGTTTTGGGAGAAATTGTGCCCCTTCATTGGTGTCAGTGGGGAAAAATGCCCCATCTTTGATGTCAGTGGAAAGAACAGTGCCCTATTATTTGTGTCATTGGAAGGAATTGTGCCCCTTCATTGGTGTCAGTGGGGGGAATAATGGCCCATTGTTGGTGTTTTGAGAGAAATTGTGCCCCTTCATTGGTGTCAGTGGGAAAAAAATGTCCCATCTTTGATGTCAGTGGAAAGAACAGTGCCCCATCTTTGATGTCAGTGGAAAGAACAGTGCCCTATTATTTGTGTCATTGGAAGGAATTGTGCCCCTTCATTGGTGTCAGTGGGGGGGAGGGGGAATAATGGCCCATTGTTGGTGTTTTGGGAGAAATTGTGCCCCTTCATTGGTGTCAGTGGGGAAAAATGCCCCATCTTTGATGTCAGTGGAAAGAACAGTGCCCTATTATTTGTGTCATTGGAAGGAATTGTGCCCCTTCATTGGTGTCAGTGGGGGGAATAATGGCCCATTGTTGGTGTTTTGAGAGAAATTGTGCCCCTTCATTGGTGTCAGTGGGAAAAAAAATGTCCCATCTTTGATGTCAGTGGAAAGAACAGTGCCCTATCATTGGTGTCATCGGAAGGAATTGTCCCATCATCGGTGTCCATAGGGGGGAAAAATGGCCCATTGTTGGTGTTTTAGGAGAAATTGTGCCCCTTCATTGGTGTCAGTGGGGGGAATAATGGCCCATTGTCGGTATCAGTGGATGAAGGAGTGCCCCAAGGGCCGGATAAAAGCAAGCAAAAGGCCGCATCTAGCCCTGGGGCCACAGTTTGGAGACCACTGTTCTATACTGTTGAAATATGTCTGGAAGGGGTTGGGAGGCTTGCAAATCAGGGCAACCACTGGGGACAAGTATTCTCAAGCGGCCCCTGTGGGGGTAGCGCTACATATACGATATTATTCAGTTAAGAAGATAGAACCAATTATAATTGGAATTTCCCATCTGCCTCTGTATTCACGTTGAGGGTCATCTATGACAGTAATGTGTGATTTTCCGTCTTCTGGATGAAATTTGTGGGTCTTTATGTCCAATTCCCCGGAACATATTTCATTCTGGAGATGGAACGGTTTGTAGAGAGTCTCCGATATCTGCCAGAGCCAATTACAGGGCTGGAAGTCTCTTGCACAATGTTTGAGAATTGTATTTATGACCTAAATTAACTTCTCAGCGCATGGAAGCCGAGCAGAAGAACATTTCTATGGAGGATACAGACGGTAAGAAATCAGAGAATTCTCCGGATAGATCTACGCGGTGCCACGCAGGGTGCGGATCCACGGGCAGCCTTCAAGTATCCGTTCTAATATTTGATTTACAGAGAAAGAATTCTATGCGCTCATTTTCTGAGTTATTATTGCAGCTGAAGTCACAGGAATCGATTTGTAGTCAGATACACAATGTACTAACAATATCCGTCTTCACAGCCTTTCCTCCACTCGTCCCGTTACAGCAGTTGTTCAGGTTGTCAGAATGTGACTGCGCACATTAGAACTACACCTAGTGCACTCAGTAATCAGCTCTCAAAAACAGGACACACACCCCTCTTCTCCTCCAAGAACACAAGTCTATGTATGGAAGGTCTATGGGGTGGGACTATAACTCAGCTCTGCCAGCCCAGAGCACCAAAGGGGGAGGACAGATGGCTGCAGTTTCACTAAGAAGAAAAGGAAGAGTCAGGTAGAGAGTTAGACCCAGTGCTCTCTGTAATCATCAATCAGTAACAGACCTTTCCTCTCTCTTCCTCTGCTGTACAAATTTGTATGAGGACATTTATGATTAGGGGTGTGGCTGCTACTCAGCTCTGCCAGTACAGAGCACTGGGAAGGGGAGGGGCAGGAAGCAGCATCTTCCCTAACAGGAAAAGGAAGAGTCAGGTAGAGAGTTAGACCCAGTGCTCTCTGTAATCATCAATCAGTAGCAGACCTTTCCTCTCTCTTCCTCTGCTGTACAAATTTCTATGAAGACACTTATGATTAGGGGTGTGGCTGCTACTCAGCTCTGCCAGTACAGAGCATTGGGAAAGGGGGCAGGAAGCAGAATTTTCACTAGGAGAAAAAATTAGAGTCAATTGGAGAGTTAGACACAGTACTCTTAGTAACTATCAGTCAGTAGCAGACCTGGACAGATACTCCCTCTCTCTTCCTCTGCCACACAGAGGACACTTATGATTAGGGGTGTGGCTGCTACTCAGCTCTGCCAGTACAGAGCACTGGGTAGGGGAGGGGCAGGAAGCAGCAACTTCCCTAAGAGGAAAAGGAAGAGTCAGGTAGAGAGTTAGACCCAGTGCTCTCAGTAATCACCCATCAGTAGCAGAGATGGTCAGACAAGACACTTGTGCTGAGAGGTGTGGCTGGTACTCAGCTCTGCCATCACAGAGCACTGGAGGGGGAGGGCAAGAAGCAGCATTTTCACTAGGAGAAAAAAATAGAGTCAGTTGGAGAGTTAAACCCAGTACTCTTAGTAACTATCAGTCAGTAGCAGACATAATCAGACACTCTCACTCTCTTCCTCTGCCATACAGAGGACACTTTTTATTAGGGGTGTGGCTGTTACTCAGCTCTGCCAGCCCAGAGCATTGGGAAAGGGGGCAGGAAGCAGTATTTTCAGTAGGAGAAAAAAATAGAGTCAGATAAGGAGTTACAACCAGTGATCTCAGTAATCACCCATCAGTAGCAGAGATGGTCAGACAAGACACTTGTGCTGAGGGGTGTGGCTGGTACTCAGCTCTGCCATCACAGAGCACTGGAGGCGGAGGGCAAGAAGCAGCATTTTTCACTAGGAGAAAAAAATAGAGTCAGTTGGAGAGTTAAACCCAGTACTCTTAGTAACTATCAGTCAGTAGCAGACCTGATCAGACACTCCCACTCTCTTCCTCTGCCATACAGAGGACACTTTTTATTAGGGGTGTGGCTGTTACTCAGCTCTGCCAGCCCAGAGCATTGGGAAAGGGGGCAGGAAGCAGTATTTTCAGTAGGAGAAAAAAATAGAGTCAGATAAGGAGTTACAACCAGTGATCTCAGTAATCACCCATCAGTAGCAGAGATGGTCAGACAAGACACTTGTGCTGAGGGGTGTGGCTGGTACTCAGCTCTGCCATCACAGAGCACTGGAGGCGGAGGGCAAGAAGCAGCATTTTCACTAGGAGAAAAAAATAGTCAGTTGGAGAGTTAGACCCAGTACTCTTAGTAACTATCATTCAGTAGCAGACCTGGTCAGAAACTCCCTCTCTGTTCCTCTGCCATACAGAGGACACATGATTAGGGGTGTTGCTGTTACTAAGCTCTGCCAACACAGAGCACTGGGAAGGGGAGGGACAGGAAGCAGCATCTTCCCTAAGAGGAAAAGGAAGAGTCAGGTAGAGAATTAGAGCCAGTGCTCTCAGTAATCATCAATCAGTAGCAGACCTGGTAAGACACACCCTCTTTTTTCCTCTGCCCTACAACTCTGTGTGAGGTCACTTATGATTAGGGGTGTGGCCGTTGCTCAGCTCTGCCATCACAGAGCATGGGGGATAAGGGGCAAGAAGCAACTTTTTCACTGCATAAAAATACAGTCAGATAGTGAGTCAAACCCACTGCTCATCGTGATCGGCAATAAGTTGCAGACCTACTCAGACAAAACACCTGTGCTGAGGGATGCGGCTGTTACTCATAGAGCACTGGAGGGGGAGGGCAAGAAGCAGCATTTTCTGTAGGATAAAAAGGTCAAGAAAGGTAGAAAAATAGAGCCAGTACTCTCACAGATCATCAATCATTTACAGATCTGGTTAGACACACACAGTCGTTTCCACTGCAATGCAGGTCTGTGTAGGGAAAGCAATGCTGAAGGGTGTGGTGTTACTCAGCTCTGCCGACACAGAGCGCTGAGGAAGGGGGGGCAGGGAGCATTGTTTCCTCTAAGAGAAAAAGGTAGAGTCAGGCGGCGAGTTAGATCAAGTACTCATAGTAATCATCACTCATTAGTAGACCTAGTCTGACAGGACACTTGTGCAAAGGGGTGTGGCTGCTACTCAGCTCTGTCAGCACAGAACACTGAGAGAAGGGGGGCAGGAAGCATAATTTTTACTAACAGAAAAAACTAGAGTCAGGCAGCAAGTTAGACCCAGCACTCTCAGTAATCATCACCCATCAGTAGACATAGTCTGGCGGGGCACTTGTGTTCAGAAGTGTGACTGTTACTCAGCTCTGCAATCACAGATCACTGGAGGGAGAGGGCAAGAAGCAGCATTTTCACTGGAATAAAAAAGTAGAGTCAGGTAGAGAAGTAGACCCAGATAGGGAGTTGGATCCAACACTATCAGTAATCATCACTCATTAGTAGACCTAGTCTGACAATGCTAAAGGGGTGTGGCTGTTACTCAGCTCTGCCAGCACAGAGCCTTAAGGGAATAGAAAGGGGGGGGGGAGTCTGGAAGCATAATTTTCCCAAGGAGAAAAAAGTAGAGACAGAAAGGGAGTTAGACCCAGGATTCTCAGTAATCATCACTCATTAATAGACCTAGTCTGACGGTGCTAAAGGGGTGTGGCTGTTACTCAGCTCTGCCAGCACAGAGCCTTAAGGGAATGGAAGGGGGGGGGGGGGGGGTCCTGGAAGCATCATTTTCCCTAGGAGAAAAAAAAAAGAGTCAGAAAGGCAGTTAGACCCAGGACTCTCAGTAATCATCACTCATTGGTAGACCTAGTTTGACAGTGCTAAAGGGGTGTGGCAGTTACTCAGCTCTGCCAGCACAGAGCCTTAAGGGAATAGAAAGGGGGGGGGGAGTCTGGAAGCATAATTTTCCCAAGGAGAAAAAAGTAGAGACAGAAAGGGAGTTAGACCCAGGATTCTCAGTAATCATCACTCATTAATAGACCTAGTCTGACGGTGCTAAAGGGGTGTGGCTGCTACTCAGCTCTGCCAGCACAGAACACTGAGAGAAGGGGGGCAGGAAGCATAATTTTTACTAACAGAAAAAACTAGAGTCAGGCAGCAAGTTAGACCCAGCACTCTCAGTAAACATCACCCGTCAGTAGACATAGTCTGGCGGGGCACTTGTGTTCAGAAGTGTGACTGTTACTCAGCTCTGCAATCACAGATCACTG